CCAAGGGAAATGGGACTTGGGCTCTGTGTTACATTTCTGGTTCCACTATGGTTTACTCTTCAGCAGTTTGTTCACTCTCAGTTTTAGCTACCTGTAAAATGAGATTTGCAATGAGGCTGCAGTTTCATTAAGACTCACAAGCACTTTGAAATCTTCTGAATGAAAAGGGCAGAATATTAAAATTATAAAATATTTGGGTCCTGGGCTCACTTATTCCCATCTCCCAAGTGAGTGAGTACTGACTGAGAAGTGAGATATGTGCATTGGCTTTAGGGCAAGAATTTCTCAAGTTTGTCCCTCTGAAAATAATTGATCCTGAGAAACATGTAGTAGTGAGAAGAGGATCTTCCCTGTGTTGGACAGATGGAGTGAGAAACAGTGGAGGATATGTCAGCAGGAGGATATGGGGAAGGGTGTTGGTGAAACTTGACACTTTTGCTAGGTTTCCACCTGTATTAACTTGCAACATCGACCTGCATTAAGTGTATTCCTCAACAGGTGCATGTAGCAACCTTGTTGCAATTGGTACCTTCTGAGAACAAAATGAATACAGGCAATTTAAGTTGCCTTCACTTTGCTAGTATTCTTCTAATTTTAGCTAAGAACCCCTTCCCATGCCTGCCCCTCCCCAGGAAGCTAGTTTCTGAGCTAGCTGTGTTTTATGGTTAGTTGGTGCCACTCCTTCATGAACCCCAGGCTTGGGGCCGAAACACCTTCCATCACTTGAGAAACTGTTGCTGTTGTTTGTCCTTCCCATGACCTTTCTCAGTCATTTCTTGAGGACTTTAAAATAGGTGACGAGTCTGATGCATTTACAGCCTAACAATACTGTTCTCACACATTCTCAGGGTCTGGAGGTGTACATGAAGAACAAAAACTTCCCTTCTCCCTTTGTACTCGATGAAACCAAAGTGGAAATGCTGGAAAATTCTTGAAGAGGGAAGCCTTTCCCCCTCATCAGATATCTGTTTTTCAGATCCATTATGAGAACTGACATTACTAAAATATCAGCTATGAAGTGCATTATAAAAAAAAATTGCTTTGCAGCGTTTGATTGATGCCAAATCCTTGCAGCAGTTGGGTTTACACACATGTTCGTGCCCCCCAGTTCTGTTTGGTAACTTTGAATGCCGGGCCTCTTACCTCAGTCTGTTTTGTACACTTGGATGTGAGTGAGGATTAACACCTTCCAGGTGCTAAACATATCTTATATTTCTTATTTGCTGGGCACGTGAATATGGAAAAGAGCTAACCAGGGCCTAATAAATCAGCTTTGCATCCAAGAAGATTAAATCTCTTCAATGCCTTGTTAGGGTTTTTGTTTGTGCTGGTGTGGTTGCGTTTTTGTTTTGGTTTTGTTTCTAAATTATGTGCACAGCTTCAGTCAGTTTGAGGCCCCATCCTGAAAAGTATGGAAGGACTGTGGGTACTGAGGCCTTTCACTCCAGTGAAACATCTTTTCCCTAATCCTATGATGGTTGGAGGATCCAATTCAGCAATTGCATCCTCTAAGCAGATCATACAGAGTCTGCTGTGTGTAGGGATGTTGCTGTGCCTAAGCATTGCTTGAGGTTTGGACTCCAAAGCAGTCAGACTATTTTTGTATCTGGGCTTGCTGGTGTCTTGCTTGGACTGATTGCTTCTGACAGCTGTAGTGACCTGGGGTTTTTTAATTAAAAAAAAAAAAAAAAGTTGATGAGAATTTTTTTTCACAACCCTCTGCTCTTCATGGCTATAACAAACATTTGTTTTCCTTTCCATTTCCTGTTTAATGTATACCATATCCTTCAGACCAAGCTCTCTCAAGGAACCTGAAAGTAGTAAGAGGAACAAATCCCAATGGTAGAATTTAATGCTTAACCAAAAAAAAAAAAACCAAAACAAAAAGCTTACTTTCAGCATCACCAGGGCACACAGTAAACCACCAGCCTTGCTTCTGCATTTTCTGCCCATGTGGTTTTCCAGCACTCTTTCACTTAGAAAATAATTCCTTAGATGCCTTCTTTTTAAATATATTACTAAAGATCATGTAAAGATAAGTGTTAGCTAATGAAGGATGTTAATTGTCAGAACATATGTAGCATGTGAACTCAGTCCTGGCCAAGGGATCCCAGGATGGCCGTGATCCACCAGTGATTGTTCCTGTTCAGCCTTTGGACGCTGTTCTGGGAGGCTCATGCCCACCTGCTGCAGAACCTGTGCTGAGTAAACCTGAGTCATTTCAGCTGTGCTGAGGATGCACTCACTGGTGGCTGGTCTTTGCTTCAGGAGCACTCTATACTTTTCCACTAAACCTGGTGCTAGGGAAGGTAGTGAGAAAGATGCCTCATCTGAAATGCTATTTCATGCATCAGCTTCTACTAAGGAATTGCTGACGAAATTTCATTAAGCATAAATAACTTCCATGGCTTTCTGCAGTTCCTGATGTGAAGCTCTATTCAGAATATAGGGTAAGTAGAAAAATGGCTTTGAGACTAAATACACTTTGTAAGTAGACTCGTTTTCCAAAGAAAGCATCTAAATGTTAATATCAGAGTTTTTGGTTATAAAGTGGTTCTGCATGAACGTGAGTAATGAGCCTTTCACACATGCAGACCAGCTCATGACAGTTCTGATTACCTCAGCTGGCATGTGCAGCCAGTAATTCTCATTTAGAATAAATGATGCATTTGTCATTGACACTCAGTTCTGCAGTCTTTTTGCACAGTGTTTCTGTGGTTCATTCCATTCCTGTCAGTCAAGTTTTATGTCTGAGAACAAGTTGTGTTGTATCTTTGTGAGTATTGCTCGGCAGTTCTGGCACACACTTGTTTTATCTTGCATTGGATATAAAAGATTTCTTTTGCTCTTCGTAAAATACTTTCTCTTTTGAAGCTTCACTTCCCGTGTACACAGAGCTGCTGATACAGTTTTCAAGGTTGTTTTCAAGGAAAAGCCTTATTAGAATGTTGAATGCTTTGTCTGTTGGGCTTTTTTTCCCCCTATGACTCTTTACATTTTAAACTGGAACATAGAAAGAATTTCGAGAGAATTTTTTAAAAAAGAAATCTGTTCAATATGTAACAAAGTCTTTGTATGCAATATAAAATGAAAAAAGTACCTGAAACAAAGGGAAGTCCTGTAGTACTCCAGAAGCTTCTGGACACCTAAGCATTTTTACAATAAAGATGTTACTGTGATTTCTATGTGTCTGTCTGTTTTTCTTGTCCGTGAGGAAAATACCCTTGTTGTCTTTGTCCCTACATGTCTTGGGTGTTGTCACCACAGCTGCAGGACGGGCAGTGTCACCAGTGGTACGGCTGGAGGCGGCAGTGCCCATGCTTCAGAGTATGGGGGATGTGGGACTGGGCAGAGGGTGATTCCTGAAGGTGATTCCTGGTGGGATCTATTTTTCATCAGAAAACAGAAGATTGTGTTCTTGTCTTCAATTCTGTTTATTTTTTCCAAGCTTTTCAGATCAGTTTACTCACAGGAGTTTAATTGTGGGTAGTGGTTGTTTGTCTTATTTCAAGTTGATTTGAGTGATCTGGCTCTAAGTCAGGCTGTCCCAGCTGAGCACTTGCTGGAATGCAAATTTTGCTTTGCTTCACAGTGACAGATATGTCTTAAACAGGGCTCTATTTATAGCACAATCAGTAGGGGTAGTCAGTAATATGTCACAAATGGCATATTGTCCTGTTTGGGGGGTTTAGTGCTGAACCCAGCAGATGTCAGATCTCCCTTTCTTAACTATTCCCCCCCATGTTTCTCTCTTGACACCACTACGAAGGTTGCTGGTGGGTTTAATGTATTTTTAAGCTACATGAATCAGTAGTTTCCTGTGGTAGGAAAATGAATACTAAAAATGAATACATGCTTCAGGCATCTTAAATTGTTCCCATGCGTGTTTATGCAGAGTTCGTATTTAGCAGAATTTTTGCTTGCTTAGTTATCTTAATCATGCTCAGAAAACACAAAATTTTCCGTTTTATCTGAAAATCTAGTGGGAGGTGGATTTCAAACGTAAAGGGGCAAATGATGCAAACTAACCTGCCAGTGAGGCACGGCTGGAGGTGAATTCAGTACCAGCACTTAGAGCAGCTGCGTCAATTCTGCCCTCTTCCTGTTGGGACTAAGAACCTGAGCTAGAAGTAATGGTTATTACAAACCTGGTCCTGCTGTGGCTCTGAACGTGTACATCACTAAACAATGCTCTTCCTTACTCCCACTGATAACACCCCTCCTCCTCCTCAGGGAAGATGCAGGGAACTATTTGCACAGGCTGGAGGTCTGTGGAGGAGCACCTGTGGGATGAGTGCATCCTGCTGAGTACCAAAATTCAGTGCCAGGTCTCGTGGCAGGGTTTATGTATACAACTGCTTAAGTTGCTTTTCACCCACTCACATACATCCTCTCAGATTCCAGGCCCGTGTTCCTGCATTGCCTGCTGTAGAACTGTCTCGGGTTGCCAGTGGCAGCTGATGATGACATGAGACAGCTCTTCCCTGTCCTCTCGGAGTCGGCAGCAGTTCGGGATTCGCTCGGCTGTGCTCCCTGGCCGGAGGGGCGGCAGCGCTGCTGGGCTGGGGTGCGGGCCTGCCCATGGGAGCTGCGCCTTGCTGGGTTCGACTGATGAGAGCTTGCAGGCCAGCTGTTGAGTTGATTTTCCTTAGAACGTCCCACACGCACGTTTTCATTTCTCGTGCTCCCTTGCCAGTGTTCCCGTGAACGGCCTCTATGGTGTAACCTCAGCGCACCGCGGAACGGAGAGGGTTCCCAGCCTCTCCTGTCCTAACTGCCTGCCCAGGCACCCGAGGCCCTCCTGGCCAGGGCCCGGCTGGGCGGGGCGCGCAGGGACAGGAGGGACAAGGGCCGAACCCCCGCGGCCCCGGCCCGAGGGGGGAACCGTGAGGGGGGCGAGAGGTCCGAGCGGGTCGCGCCCCCGGTGCCATCGAGCGCGGCCGCCGCCGCCGCCAGAGCGGCACCGGAAGCGGCTCCCGGAAGCGGCCGCTCCGCCCCGCGGTGCGATGGCGGCGGGCGGCCCCTGAGGCGCCGCCATGTACGCGGGAGCCGCCGTGGGGCCGCCGCTCCGGGACTTCATCTCCGTCAGCCTCGGCCCGGAGGGGGCGGTCGGGCCTGGCGGCTACAACAACAGCAAGGCCTGGCGGCGGCGCTCCTGCTGGCGGGTGAGGGCTGCGTGGGGAGCTGTGCGGTACCGCGGGCACCCGGGCTGGGTGCGGGGGCTCGGGGCGGTGAGGGAGCACTGTTGGGCCGGGCGATCGGGATGTCCCTGGGCTCGGATGCAGCCGCACTGCCATGGGGGACCTGCCTTGGCCCGCCCCGCTCCGAGCTGAGCCGGGGCCGTGGCTGTGGGCTCGGCTCTGCTCTCGGGGGCTGCCCCGCGCCGGTTACGGGCATGGGGGGCTCCACGTCGTGTCTTAATTTTCACGAACAAAGCTGGGGGATACTGTAAAATCTCGTGCTCTGCTAGTGGACATTTGGAGGGCAGTGCTGCGCTCTGTGGACACGAACGAGTAGGGTGAGATTTGGTCCCCGTGCCTCTGTTCCCTGTTTTAAGACTTGAAGGGGGCGCCCTGGAAGAGTAAAGGGGACAGTTCTGCTTTCTGTGGGAAGGCTGAATGTGACGACAGAGGTCCCCTGGCAGAGCTCTGGGGAAGTGACCATCTTGTGTGCCTGTGGGTAGGGAGCCTTACTGGGAGTGGGAGTGTTGGGCCCGGAGAGTCTTGAATGAAAAAGAGTGAATCAAAAGGACACAATAGCCCTTGTTACAGATAGGAGACGATGAATAGTCACCTACAGAGGATTTAGGTTGTCAGATGAAGCATTTGAAGAGCTTGTTTAGGGACACATTCTCAAAGTTCTCTTTTATTAATAACAATGGCCAGTCTTCGCGAGCAAAGATCCGGGGAAGGTCTTTCCACCTTCCAGCCTGCGCATTGGATTTTTTAGGTGAGACACAGTGTGCGCGGAACTGAGCCCACCCTTTAATCCTAAGGTTCATCTGCCGGGGCCAAGCGAGCTTGGACGGTGGCAGCGAGGTCCTCAGGACGTAGGTGGGTTGCCTTTAAGGCTAACGAGAGCTCCACCTGCCTGGGAGTGGCCCTGACCGGGAATCGAACCCGGGTCTCGGCGGTGACAGCGCCGCGCCTTTACCACTAGACCACCAGAGGCTCCTCTCTTTTATTACCAGCTTGAGAAATGTGGGTTCCTCATGTCACCCTTTACTTTATCCTTATTCTTTGGGAACAAAATACAGTAAGATGGTGGTAGATGCCCTCATATATTCTTGTGCCTCATTCCTGTCTGTCCCAAGACACCACAATCAATGCCTCTTTTCCTATCCTACCCTGAGGAATCATAAGGCTCCAGTTTTCAAGCATCCTTCTGCAGTGGGAAGGTGGTGATATGGTTTGCTGTGCAGGTAGAGTGGAGGATGACAGAGTGGGACTGGCATCTTGCAGTGAGTGCAGGGAAGGGTGTGTAGGATTCCTGCCAACGGGACAGGAGGAAAACAGGAAACTTTATGTAATGCGGGGCTCGCAGTGTGAGCACATCAACTGTTCTGACTGGCTGTTGCTAAGAGGATGAGGACTGTGGGAAGTGCTGTGGGGTGTTGTGTGGTTGATAGGATAGATTATTCCTGAGTGTACATTAGAACTTAAGTTCACTCTCTGTATACCAGAACCAATTTTAGTGAATTTCAATATGACTTCTGGAAAAGTAACAAAGGTACTTGAGCAGTTAATGTTTAACTCCAACTGCTCTCTCTGTAAATGCAGGCTAATGTACATTAGCCTCTCTCGGGCTAATATAGGATTTGCTCTGTGATTTTTAGTGATTGTTGCCTGTACTTCAGTTTCAGCAATACACTTTTGCCCAGAATTAAACGTGGAAACATTGTGGGTTTGTCTTGTTCGTTGTTGTGGTGTTTTACTTCATTTTCATGCTGCTGCAGGTCGTTGACTTTCTCTGTGGTGCAGGACTTGTTCTGTGTGACAGTTCCCATGTGTATCAGAGGCAGGATGCCTGGCTTCTCTTTCACAGATTCACAGAATATGCTGACTTGGAAGGGGCCCACAAGGATCATTGAGTCCAGCTCTTGAAGTGAATGGCTTGTGCAGGGATTGAACCCGTGACCAGTGACCGGTGCTCAGTTTATTTTGAGCCTTTCTTCTTTGCTGCAGTAACATTTTTAGTTTTCCTACTGCTTGTTCTGTTCTTATTTTGCATATGCACTATGCAGTCCCTCCCCAGCCAGGAGGAAAGAGGCTTTTGGATGATTTCCCTGTTGACATCTGGGCAGGTGTTCAGGTCAGGCAGTGGAGGTTGTGATGAAAGTCAGCTGTAGTTGAAGTTCTGTGAGATCCTTGGCATTCAGCAGATTCTGAGGTCCTTGCAGCAAGTGGCTCTGATGTTTCTGTGAGCTTGCTGTGCCATATACTAGCGGGTTAGATTCCTATTTTCTCAACATCAAAGAAAATAAGCAATGGAAATATGCAGTTGGAAACAAGGTAAAATTAAACCTACTGGGTTTTGTGTTTCTTAATCTGAATGAACCAGTAAGAGTTTATTTTTAACCGAGTTGGCTCTTAGTGTTGTGCTAAATGTTCTTCCTCTCTCTTCTTTTATCTCCTAAAGAAATGGAAGCAGCTGTCCCGACTCCAGCGGAGTGTCATTCTCTTCCTGTTTGCCTTCTTGGCAGTCTGTGGAGTCATTTCGTACACAAGCATGGGAGAAGCATGGAAAAGTATGTGTTCTATACAGCTCGGAATTGCCAGTGAGGTGTTAGTTAGGAAATTGTAGTTCTTATGACCAGTTTTAGTTTCTATTGACAGTGCCTGGGTGTATTCATTAAAGCACAGTTGTGAGATGATTTTATGTGAAGTTTCAATGGCGTAATGCTTAATCAGAAATATTTTTCATATCTCTTTTCTTTGTTTAGCTTGACTAGAGCAACGTTTTATTTTAGTTGGTGTCCTGGTCTAGACCAGGACAGGGTTAATTTTTTGCAGTAGCTGGGAGGGGGCGTGGCTAAGGCCCAGACTTTATTCTGTGCCACCTCACTTCATTGCTTGAGGGCAGAAGGGTGGGGGGACGGGGGCAGTGGGGGAGTTGCAGCAGCAGCGATGGTGGTGGTAGCGGTGAAGGGACTCTGAGAGTGGCAGTGTGGTTTTGAAGAACATTGGTGAGGGCACTGAATTGGGGAATACCATTCCTAACAGCCTTAGTTGGTGCCCAATGTGAGGCACAAAGGGTTGAGATAACAACAGATCTGCCCAGAGCAGGTTGAAAACAAGTTTGATCTAAGCATTTGTTGTATTAGGTACAGAACCACTGGTCACGATATAGCTTGGTCTGTTCACATGGTTGTGGTACCTAACCCTGTATATATATTCCTCTATGTGCTCCTCGTGGGGATCTTTTTCAGAACAGGGAGAGGAACCAGGATTGCTTTGTTGCTGTACTGTGGGATATCAGTTTATGACATGATGACATCAAGGGCAGTGAGGGTCATTTGGGATGTGTGTTCAGTGTTGCTCTCCTACCCTACCTTGGGCACTGCCTTTGGGAGTCCAGTAATAATCGTACCCGTTCTGTGTGGGGAACGGGAGGATGATTTTCTCAGCCTTTCATCCCCTTTTCCTTCTTCAGGCCTGTTACAATAGCTTTTGAGATTTTTGAATTCCTTTGGCTGTTAAGGAAAGCATGTTCTCATTGCCAAGTCTACCAGGTCTCCTCAGTGCAGTCCACACCATGTTTAGAGTCAAAGATTTCTAAGAAGGTCATTCAGAGATCTGCCCTGAGGGTGGATAGTCATGAGTGGCATGGAAGGATGGGGGAAAATGGGCCAGCTTTTGGGGAAATTCTCTGCTCCAATGGTTTGGAAGTTCACCCCTGAACAGCTACAGCACCCTGGTAAAGTGGCAGAATATTTGAAAGGAGAATGCTGTGGCAACTCCAGAGAGGAGCAACTTAATGCAGTGTGTTGGGCCCTGGGTGCTATTTATGAGACACTCTCATCACCAGACAGCACCTTCAAGGAAAGCAGAGCAACAGCCACAGTGACCACTCAGACTGCAGCTGAGCCAAAGGAACAACCCATGCCAGTAGCAGTCGCCCCTATACAGAAGAAGAAACCCAACCCAGAATTTGGGCTACTGAAGAACGTCACAACAGACAGGTGGATCAGGCTGCCAACGTTGAAGTGTCTTAGGTGGATCTGGATTGGTAACACAAGGGGGAATTATTTCTGGATCAGTGGGCCCATGACTCCTCAGGTCATCAGGGGAGAGATGCTACGTACAGATAGGCTCGTGATCGAAGGGGGGACTTAGCCATGGACACCATCTCCCAGGTTATCCATAACTGTGAAATGTGCTGCAATCAAGCAGGACCAAATGGGTAAAGTCTCTGTGATACGGGAGGCAATGGTCAAAATATAAATATGAAGAGGCCTGGCAGGTTGATCACATCACACTCCTACAAACCCTCCAAGCCAAGTGCCATGTGCTGACAATGGTGGAAACAACCACTGGATGGCTGGAGACACACCCTGTGCCTCATGCCACTGCCTAGAACACCATCCTGGGCCTGAAAAAGGAAGTCCTGTGGTGACATGGCCCCCAGGGAGAACTGAGTCGGACAATGGGATTCATTTCAAAAAGAGCCTCATAGATCCCTGGGCCAGAGAGCATGGAATGGAGTGAGTGTATCATATTTCCTATCATGCACCAACCTCTGGTGCATGAATTGTACAATGGACTGTTAAAAACTGCATTGAAAGTAATGGGTGGTGGGACTTTCAAACATTGGGATCTGCATTTAATGAAGTCCACCTGGTTAGTTAACACCTCTGTCTCTACCAGTCGAGCTGGGCCTATCCAGTCAAAACCTCCACATACTGTGGAAGGGGATAAAGTCCATGTGGTACATGTGCAGAATGTGTTAGGGAAGATCATTTGGATTAGTCCTGCTTCAAGCAAATGCAAACCCATCCATGGGATTGTTTTTGCTCAAGGACCTGGGTGCACTTGGTGGGTAATGCAGAGGGATGGGGAAACACAATGTGTCCCTCGAGGGGATTTGATTTTTGGGTGAGCACAGTTTGTAATGTTGAATTGTATGATATTGGTTGCTGAATGATGTTACCACTGTGTGCCATAACTACCATGGACAGTGAGGGTAGACTGCTCTAGATACACCAGTTGTGAGCTCCTGATACATCTTGAACCAACTGACAGCATGTCTTCCTGCCCTGGAAGACGTAAGGATGGATAGAACCCAGAGTCCTGGACTAAATGAACTCCACAGACATCTTCGAAGGATGGTCTTTGACTATGGAATTTATACCTGTACTTCTGTATATTTATATATGTATATAGTTGGATATTGTAGAGATAGGCATGGATAATGTACAGGGTGAGGAAATCTTGGCCATGAATAGGGTCAAGAAAAGTTGTGTAGGTACCTGTGTGTGTGTCCTGGTTCCAGCCAGGACAGCATTAATTTTTTGCAGTAGCCAAGAGGGGTTGTGGCTGAGGCTTGGATGTTATTCTACACCACGTCGTGTCATTGGGGGGTGGGGAAGGGACTGTTTTGTTATTAATATTAATCATATTACTGTTAATTTTCTTACCTCATGGCTCTTGCCTTTCCTTACATGCCTCCAATTCTCAAGTCCATCCCCGATGCAGTGGGAAGGGGGAGGAGAAAACAGGGGAGCAGAGAGTGGCAGGGTGGTTTTGGAGGGTTTCGGTGGGGGAACGGAATCCGGGAGTACCATTCCTAAACCAGGACAGTTGATTAAGATTTGGTGGCTGTTTATTATGTTTGTATGTAGATATTGGTAGCCCAAACCTAATCAGTAGAATAAGATAATCCTCTCTTGGTTTTGATTGCCCATCAGATTAGAAATTCCAAGCATTTGTACAATACTTAAGCACATTTAGCTTTGATATTATCTTACTGCCTGTATTGAGAAACTGAAATAGTAGCAATTAAAAAAAAATGTCTTTTAGCAACCCCGTTGTATATTAGGGAGAGGATTAATACCAAAATACAATTGTATTTAACAATTAGTGTGTGTTTATCGATGTTTTATAAATGCACTTTTTGGAGGTGCATCCACTATGTGAATGCAGCAAACTGTTATAAATTTCTAGCTGCAACCTGAAGTGTTGATTCTTTGTGCTGAGCAGTTTTGTGTGTCTAGGTCTAACAAACAAATCGTTAGATGATCAGAGAACAGAACAAGAAATTCCTGGAGTAAAGCTGGCAAATCCAGCTGTTCTACCAGCACCCCAGAAAGCAGATGCCAACCGTGGAGACTACCCTGAGCTTTCGCTGCAGGTACTGAGAGAAGAAATCAGTTTTATAAAGCTACCAAAAAGCTTGTGAAGGCTGCAAATAGTGATTGGTTCCAACAGTTGTTGTGGAGAAAGGAGTTAGAACTTGCACAAAAGAGTCTGCTCTGGGTGGAATGCTCGCTTTTCAGGAAGGGCTTTGGTGTGCATTTCTTGGCTTTACCTTTTTCATTTAAGTTTTCTGTATGCTATTTATTACTCACTGCTCTGCCCGGGAGTGCCAGAACTTTAGGTCACAGTGACCTCTTACTTGAGGCTTCACTCATGCTGTGGTTAATTTGTTTTGACTTGGGGGTGCTCTGGGCATCAGTCTCACTGTTGTGAGGAGCCTGGAGTCGTGGCTGAATAGGAGACATGAATGCAGCTGATGTCACGGTGAACCTGAACAGCTTTTCTGAGAGCTTGAAAAATAGCAGCAGGCAGAGCAGATGTTAGGAGTGTTTGAAGGGTTGTGTTTTTGGGAAATGCAATGGGAAAGGAACATAACTGACTGTAGATTAGTGCAGGAGGTCTTCAGCATACCTTCCATTCAAGGCAGAACTTGACTGCTGATATGATAGCAAACTAAGATTAATCTGAAGCATTGTTTAATACTGTTTAGTAAATACCATTGACTTACGGTTTGAAATGTTACCATCTTTGTAATATATAATATTTTTTTTTCTTCTCCCAGAAGCAGCCAAACCCACCTCATGTTCGTCGTGGTCCTTCCAACCTTCAGATCAAGGCACCACGGAGGGACACAAGGCTGAAGACCCGACACAGTACCATCAGGGCTGTAGAAGAGCCAGTGCAGACTGATAAAGGGGAGAAAACGGAGAAATCTATTATCAGGTAGAAATGTTTCAAGCAAGCTACAGTGTTTCCCCTCTTGGCTTGACTTGAAGTCCATCCTGAAAGACTTCTCCTTCAGGAGGTTTTTCACAGAAACCTGTAAAACTGATTTATGCATCTGTGGTGGCAGGAAAGGCTTGTGACCCCATGATAGCAAAACCCATACTTTGAGCAGCTCAGCCTTTGTGCTTCTTCGTGATTTTTTGGTGATCATCATTTGTGTGGTACTATTTGGTGTTAGTGGCTGGTGTGGCCATTTCAGAGCTGGTAGATAACAAATTACTTGTAATGCAGCATTTTCAGGTGTTTTTTATTAATAAATTCCATTGCCAAGATATTTAATGAAATTCCAAGAGCTTGTAAGACACATTTCTTAATATAGTAAAATTTTTCTGGTGCAAATTTCTTTCTTTGAACAGAAAATTTATCTACTGGACAACATAGATATTTTGATCCTTGACACAAAATCCAACTTTTTTTTAATCAGAGAATCATGAGATAAAGGAAATGCAGAGATAAATCCTATTCATTTGCATGACTTTCTGTGACCAAAATATGTCTTACTTACAGTCCTTTGTATTTGCAGCTGGAGAGGAGCAGTGATAGAACCTGACCAAAACACTGAACCTCCATCCAGTAAAATAAAGGAACCAGAAAGACCTTCATCTGTGGAGGCTGAAGACCAGAAGGAACCAGGTAAATAGTAGAGTTAATTATACCTTTATTTCTGTTCGCTTTTATGGTTGAAATTGTGCGAATTTTGCCCATGCACATCTATTTTACTTATTGTAATTAAAGGAAACACAAAGTTTAGGAAAGGTTACTTACCTAGAACATGCAAGCCTTTCAGTGTCCTTATTCCACCATGGCAGTCTTCATGCTTATTAGCCTTCAGAATCTGAAATTCTTTGAACTAAAGTCTCTTGGTGGAGAGATATTTCAGGACAGGGTAACCTAAGGAGAGAGGTTGTGAAAGAGACAACTTCCCTTTTCAGCTGTCGTTTTCCTTCTGTTCTGCAAGTACAGGGAAAGTTACTTCCTCCCTGAACTAAACTGAACTGTTTTAAAGGCTCATCAGAAAGCTGCAGAAGTTGAAGTTGCTGCCCTTGTGAAGCGAGGAACCTGTTGTTCCTTTTTCTGGGTTCATACAAGGAAGTTCTGGTGTGATAAACATGGTGTATTTCAACGTGATATATTTGCACTTTTGCTAGCTGAATATTTATGGGGTTAGCTTTGCTGCTTGGTGTTTCCCACTCTAGAATCTTTATTTACAATTTTGAAAAATTTCAGCTAATGGGCTTGAAATTTTCCACATTGGATGTGTAACATAAACTTCACGTGATGGCAAATTGCAAGCAAAAATCAGTAGAATTATGGAAAAAGACAAAAAATATAAATTTTCTTCCTCTTTTCGTATTAAATGAAAAGTTCAATAGACATTAATTTTATAGAAATGGTTTTAAATTTAACAGAAAGCAAAGAATAAAAGAGGGAAGATGAAGAAAAAATGGTATGTGCTGAATCAGTTGAGGATTGTATTGTTAAGCAGAGGTATTCGGCAGCTGAAGTACTGTGGATTTTAATTTAGTATTTCCTGACTTCAGCTCTTTGAGCTTTACTGATAATCATCTACAGTTGTGCATGTGATTGTTTTAATGTTTCATTTGCAGAAGTGACGATTTTGTTGCCAGGGAGAGATTTCTTTTTCCACCTGGCTGAATTGCTGACCAGAAACACTGACTGGTTATTCTACAGACGAAAGGCTGTCCTGAAGAGAATAATGTGAGGATGGTTTTTCCATTGCAGATCAGTTAGTTTGGAAGAAAGTTTATTTTGGGTAGAATGCAGCAAAATGGTGCTTGGTATAGCTGCATAATGCCCTGCAGAAATCCTGAGCAAGGCACTGTTTTCCTTTGCAGTGCCCATAAATGAGCGCCAGCTGGCTGTGATCGAAGCCTTTCGCCATGCCTGGAGAGGGTACAAGGAGTTTGCCTGGGGCCATGATGAGCTGAAGCCTTTGTCCAAGTCCTACAGTGAGTGGTTTGGACTTGGGCTTACCTTAATTGATGCCTTGGATACAATGTGGATTTTAGGCTTAAGAGAAGGTAACATTTTTTCCTCCTCCGTTTTTTTCCCTCTAAAATAATTCCTTTTATTCTATCCAGGCAGTGCATGTTCAGAGGTCTTTGAGGGCAACGTTTTTTACATGTGGCAAATAAGTTTAGCTTTCCTGTGTGGGTAAATACATATATATATTTATATATATGTATGTATATATATACATATACACACAAACATAAATATGTATAAAAATATTTTTTAAAAAACCCAACTATATTAAAGGACACTGTTTTTCTTGCAATTGAATTTTGAGCCAGAAAAAGCATATTCCATGGTTACATGTAACAAGAGGTAAAGTGGGTATATCTGTAAGGAATCCATGGGTGGAGAAAGGGAGCGCTCAATTCTTCCTAAATTGCTCTTCTGCCTGTCTTTTTTAGAGATATTCTGGAAGTGACCATGTGAGAAAACTTTAAAACAGATTTTAAAAACCAAGCCAAAATTTTTGCAATTCTGTTGCAAAAAACTTAAATGCTTAATCAGTATTTAAGAGGAATTTTTTGTTGTGTGTTTGGCTTTTTTTTTTTTTTTTGGTGGTGCAGGGCTTTTAGTGGTATTTAAAAATTTCTGGAACTGTATTTATTTAACCTTGGTAGATAGCCTCCTTTGTAAACTTTTATTAATCATGCAGCTTTTTCTGTCAAGATAAGAAGAACAGAGCTGCAAGTAAGGGGAACAGTAAATAGTCCTTCATGGTTCTCTCTCTTCTACCTTTGAAGTTTGCATAAAATAGAATTTTTGTTTGGTTTAATATGTCATGTGTGTGCAGCTCTAGGCCTGAGCAGGCTGTCTTGAAGTTTCATCAAGTTGTCAATGTGTTGCTCTTTTTTTTTTTCCTAAAAATTAATTACGAACTGAATAAAACTTTTAAAATAAATGATTAGTCGTTTAGATGTGCTGAAAAGGGGTTCTTGGTGAGAAGTTCTTCATATTTTATAGCAGTTCTGCTGATTGCCTTAGAAAGCTCCTGAGGTATCTTCTGAATAACAAATGCTATGTAAATGAAAGTTTTCTTTGAGACTGCCAATCTTACTTATTAGCTGATGAATGCAAAAGCTTCTGTGGCAGAGTACTGTGCCTTTGCTGTTCTGCTGCTAATAGCCCTAACATCTGTCTGGGAGATTTTCTGTGGTTCTTAATCTGCTCAGCATCCAAGACCAGAGGGCACAGGAGGCATCCTTTTGCTTTAGAGTTTATCTTCTGTGAAATGCCTTCAGTTTCTGGGAAACTGGTTGTGCTTCTGCTTCTCACAAGAAGGAATTTTTGGAGGCCGTGAGATTGTTCGAGTTAGCCCAGCCCTCACACTTGGAGGCTGAGCTGACTCACATGCACCATGGAGATAGACCCTCTGCCAAAGCAGTCATTGAGTGATGCTGCTGCTAAGCTGGCTGATGAATCTAAAATGGCTTTTTTTTTTTTTTTTAAGGTTCTTTTTTTAAAATTAGTAGTGCGATAAACAACCATTTTTGTTCCTAGAGAAAAAAATTGCAACCTGTGGGGATTTTGTGTGTTAAGTGCTGAGACAGGAAGCAGGCTCCCCGGGACATTGCTAGGCTAAAGGTGTTAAAGGCTGTTAACTGAATATGTTATCTGTTGTCTTGGTAGATAACAGCTTTGGTTGAAGATTTAATTAAAAACAGAAGGCTCTGTGAAAGCGTAACTAACTGTCTGACAAGTCAAATGGATGGATTTGAAAGACTGAAATTTCTGGATTTTTTTAATAAAGAATTTATCCGTTCCTTCTTTTCTTAGACTATTAAGAACTTTCTATTTTGGTGGATATTTCTGTCTGTATGCATCTGTGGTGTGTGCTGAATAAGAATTAAGCCAGGATGTGCTCTTCACTTTAGTTTTCCACCTAAAATTATCACCTCTGTAGACAGATGTAAATAAGTGTCTGGGATACATGGAATACTCATATCTCTAGTTGTTTGAACATTCCAGAAGTTCATAAATGAACTAGCTTTTATACTTTGCAGAATTTGAAGAAGCAAGAAAGTGGGTAGCAAATGATTTAGTATTTGATAAAAATGTGGATGTGAACCTGTTTGAGAGCACCATCCGTATCCTGGGCGGCTTGCTGAGCACCTACCACCTCTCCGGAGATAGCCTTTTCCTGGAAAAAGCTGTGAGTGACTGACAGTACAAATGAAACTGGGTTATATATTCCATATTGGACAAAGTTGAGGGAAGATATCTCAGAAAGTTAAATGTTGCTGTTTTTTAAGAGTTTCATATTTAAAGTGGTGGGAAAGGGATTTACCATTAGACTTTTAAGCCTGCACCTCTTTGCTCTTTGGATGACCTCAGAGCCTCGCTGCCTGCTCTTCTGCTGGTGAATGGCTGATCATAATAAAGTTCATGAAACAAAGCAAGAAATAAAAGCTTGGCAAATGGTAATAGTTGTCTTTTGATTCCCTCTCTGTGTGTCTTAACAGCATCAGCCACCTCTTCAGATTAACTAGATGCAGTTAGTGACTGCAGACTTGCATTATGTGGCATAGGGATTGCAGCCTCAGATGAGGCCTGCAGTGCTAGGGACAAGGTGGAGACTGCTCATTACTATGAATAAATTCATGACCTCTTTTAATTCTTTAATTGCTTGTACCACCTAAAACTAAGCTGCTATTCTGTCTTTTTCTGTAGGCTAGGTGAAGAAAATCTAATGGGGTGTGAGTGTATGTTTATTTTTGTTTTGTTTTGTTTGTTGCTTTGTCCTGTTCTTATGGGTTTTCTCTAGAAAGACATTGGGAACAGGCTTATGCCAGCATTCAAGACCCCCTCAAAGATACCATATTCTGATGTCAACATTGGCCGGGGCACTGCACATCCCCCTCGCTGGACATCCGATAGCACTGTGGCAGAGGTGACCAGCATTCAGCTGGAGTTTAGGGAGCTCTCTCGTCTCACTGGAGATGACAAATTCCAGGTATGGAAAAATAAATTGATGTCTCTTTCTTTATCCACCTCTCTGCAGCTCCACCACTGACTCCCATCAGTACTCGTGGTCTCTGGAGTCTCTAAGTTACAATAAATAAGTTGTGAAACTCTAGATGTGGGAAGAAAAAGAAACAAAACATCCTGATTATTTTATTGAATACCAAAAAGTAGTATTGGAGATGAATAATTATTTTTCTTCCTCAGAAACAGCTTTTAGTTAAAAAAATAAAAAATTCTGAGTGTGGTTTCTTGATGCCATTACCTATATGCAAAGAAGAAAACTGTAGTGTTGCCATCCAAGGAACTAAAATATGACTCACTAGATAAGAGTCTGAGAGCAGGTCACAGTATAGGGAAGAGTAATTTCAGAGAAAATAATATTTTCCACTTTTCTTTTTGTTTGCTGATGTTGTTTTATTGTATCCACAGCTCAGTTTTGAAGAATTCAGTTATTTAAGGAAGCTTTAGCCATTGCATGATTCATGTAGTTGTTATTTTAGCTGGACTTCTACTTTGCAAATCTGAGTAAATCAGATCATAGTCCTGTCCCATAGTACTGGCTTTCGAGTGGGCTTACCTTGAAGGAAAGAAAACAGTTATAATTATTTCAGAGTACTTAAATGTACCCAAAACATCATGTTTTGAGAGTCCAAAAGTTTGAAATCCTATATTTAATATATTGCTCGAGATGAACTTTATGTCCCTGATGGTAATTTGGAAAAAGTTACAGATTTGTTACTGACCTGGCATTACTAGCTACAGTTCTGTGCATCATTTATACCTGTAATTTATGCTTGCCATTTTCTTTCTTGCAGAAAGCTGTAGATGAGGTGATGAAACATGTTCACACCCTCTCAGGGAAAAACGATGGACTTGTGCCTATGTTCATCAACACCAACAGCGGGCAGTTCACCCACTTGGGGGTCTACACTCTGGGAGCCAGAGCTGACAGCTACTATGAGTATCTGCTCAAGCAGTGGATTCAGGGGGGGAAAAAAGAAAACGAGTAAGTTCTTTCTGCTTCTCATATCTGTAATAGAAGGGTTAACTTTGTTCATAAAATCTTATGTGTATGAGGGAGTCAGAAACTTTTTGTTGTAATTAAACAAGAGGAGTTTCACAGACAGCTTGCTAATCAAGCAAGTGTCAATAAACAACTGATAAGAACTGCACCTTTTCATCTCTGACAAATACCAGACGACCACTTACCCAGCCACCGAACTCAAGCAACAAACAAATTTACATCCGAAAAGCCGATGCCAGACACCACTTAACATGTACTTAACAACCACGAAGGTGTATAAAAAGAGACACTGACTTCATTTCGGTGTGTGCCTCGGCAGGGCACTGCCCTCCAGGCCACCCAGCGCTGTTTTGCTTTATTATCGCTTGCTTAATAAATTTATCAATGTTTAATTGGAATTGAGTTGTCTAAATTCTTATACTAACTTATAACATATCAGTGTGAGAGTTAGGTGAGCTGTAAAACTTTCTGTTGTAGTTAGTTTGCTGCTTAAAGAAAATTAACGTATGTTCAGAGTCAACTGAACATATCACTGTTTTTAAAAGCAAGCTAAGCAGCAAGAGGGACCTGTGGTAACTTCGTGTAAAACCAGTAGGAGAGTTAGGATTAGTCTCAAAGCTCCTTCTCCACAGAGGGCTTTTCTTCCTCAGCTCATCAGATGTAAGGCGTGTGACAGCGGGAGATGAAAATTAAGTCTTTGCTGTAGATATGGAGCATAATTAGACACTTCTGAAATACTGCTGATATTTCCTTTCACCAGCAATGTCTATGTTTGCTCTGTGTTTGTTAGTAAAGGGTAAAAGGAGACTGAAGTTTGATGTTTGTATAAATCTTTACTTTAATTACAGAAGCACAGACTGGTTTGGGTTGGAAGGGACCTTAAAGCTCATTTCATCCCACCCCATGCCCTCGGCAGGGACACCTTCCACTAGCCTAGGTTGCTCCAAGCTCCATCCAACCTGGCCTTGAACACTTCCAGGGCAGCCACAGCTTCTCTGGGCAACCTGTGCCAGGACCTCACCACCCTCACAGGGGAGAATTTCTTCCTAATATCCACTATAAACCTACTTACTTTCAATTTAAAGCCCCTTTCTCTGTCTCTACTTGCCCTTTGAAAAAGTCCCTCTTTAAGTCTTATACATTTCTTTTGTCTGCACTGCAAAAGTGGAGGAGAAACTTTATAAGGAGCAGAGGAATTAAAGATTTTGAAAAAGGTTTCCTCCAAAACAAGACAAAAAATCCAGCATTTTTTGTTTGCATTATAAGCTAATTATGTTGGACTTGTTCATTTTGAGAGTGTCAACATGCCTCTTAGAGACTTTTCTGTGTATCAGAGCAAATGCCTTTCTTCAAACAAAGTTTTCTCACTGCTTTTTCCAAGCTTTACCTCAGTGTAAATGGAGAATCAGTGTTTTCGGGACCACAATGGTATTTTGAGAGCCTTGCAATGGAATTAATCAACAGGTTGTTTTCCACATGAAAGCTCTTAGAAACAAAGGAAAATCAAATTAAATACTGTGAAACAATGTTTCACAAAGAGAGAGGTCAATTGGAAAAGATTGCTCCAAATCTTTGAATCTCCCCCTTTGGATGGAGGTACTAAAAAATTGCTTGGATAAAACCTCAGGCAACCTGATGTAACTGAATCTACCTCAGAGCAGAGGGATGAAGTAGAGATCTCTATGAGGTCCTTCCCACCCTAGATTTTCTGTGATTTCAATTACTTTACTTCCATGAATTTTTGAAATAAAATCTGGCTATTGCCTAGAAACTGTTAGGGATGTTTTCTTTAATACAGAAATAAGGCTTTGCTTTTTATAGTATTGCTACATGGTAGTAACAACCAATTAATGTCCAGTTAATGGTGACTTTGAGGGTTTTTTGGTCAGTTCACATTTAGTTAAATATTATTCTTTAGACCAAAATAACAGTCTCCTAAAGGATTGTGGTGATCAGCTATAATGAAATATATTCTGACTGTGTGTACGTGAGCCAACTGGGAATGATTTTCATTCACAGCCTGTTGGAAGACTATATGAGAGCCATAGAAGGGGTGAAAAAGCATCTTCTTCAGAGATCAGCCCCCAGGAAGCTTACTTTTGTAGGAGAGCTTGCTCATGGCCATTTCAGTGCCAAGATGGTAAGAAATACAATTGCATTTAAAAAAAAAGAACAAAAGAAAACAGAAAAACCATCACAAAATTTAAATAAAACCCAACACACGGCCAGGCAAATGCAAAGCTTTTCCCTCTCTAAAGAGAAAAACTATCACCCTAAACCAACAAAAACCCAAACCCCAAGACTATATATACATACACATCTATGTCTCCAGTGTGATGGCAGTACTGAATAACTGCTTTGTACATACTAACCACATGTGCAAACCAGGGACCTTCTCTCTGGGTTAGTCTAGTAAATCCATTTATTTTCCTCTAAAATTGAACATTTTGGTGCTGGAGTTAAATTTTCTAATTTTCTTTCTCTTTTTTTTTTTTTTTTCTGTTTTTTTCGGTCATGAACTTCCAGTGTCTGAAGCTGTTGAAGCAATGCCTATTTTATGTATTATTCATTTTCCATAATTCAAAAATATACATGGATACTTGCAACCTGGCTTTTCAGATTTGCCTTTAAAAGAAGGTGGTGATCTAATATTGTGTTATGGGGTTAAAAAAAAATCTGATAATTTTGGAGGTTTCTGTCCATTCATGACTTTTTTTTCTTTTCCAATTGTAGGGTTCTTGAGTAAAACAGTATGCTGTTTGCTGTGGGGAACATTGATTAATCTTAACTCCCTGCTCTTAATATATGCATCCATAGTCTTTAAAATGCATTTAAAGATCTTGCAGTTAAAGATCTCATACAATTATTAAAAATCTCATGCAAGTGCAGGCATGGTATGTGCTTGTGGCTTGTCTTAAAGGCAAGTGTTGTATTGTTAATGTATGTGTAGCCTTATGCATACTTTTTCAATACCTGAAGTAAGGTTTAGTGAATTGTATTATTTGTTTGGTTTCTTGATGTAATATTTTTTAGATCCTCAGCTCTAGTTTTCAGCGTGTTCTTCTTTGATCTGAATTTCCCAAAAGCTTTCCAAACCCGATGTGAGTGGCACTAGAGTCTGGGTAGAGGGGGGCTGCTCCATCCCAAGATAGGACAGAATTGAAGTGAGACAGATGATGCGGCTTAGGCATCTCCATGTGTCAGTACACTTTCTTCTGTTCCATGGAGTTAGAATTTTGGTGTTTAATCTATTATTACTTGTTGAAAGGCTGGATAGGTCTCTTACATTTGGCCAGCTGGAAAAGTGGGGAATGTTTGACTGTTTCGTTTATGTTGACCTTTACAACCCTCAACTTTCCTTTAGGACTGGACAAAGCTTTTGAAGACCCATACAGGGGCATCAGAATGGTTTCGCTTTTTGGGTGATGAGACCTGAACTTTCATTCTGAATCTTAAGAATAATTTTAAATCCCATATGTGACATCAGTCTGCAGTTTTTACAGTTTATATCAGTGGTGGACAGAATGAGGACAACCAAACCTTTAGCTGGTTCTGTTGACCCCATGCATGGGCTGATATGGAATATATTGTATGCTTCTGGTAAACCAAAAGACACTCTCCTCCCCCTCACCCTGACCTGAGACCTTTTTTCCAGCAACTTGTCATAGAAACACAGTCTGGGATGTTTTCCAAATTAATGAGTTCTCTAGTAATGCTGCCTGCTTCATGCTGCATTACATCAGATTATTAAAGACTTATCCTCAAGTTGTAGGTACCAGAAATGTGTTTTGAAGAAGAGAAGGAATAAACCGAGAAAGACAGAGATGCACGCACACACACACACATACATGCAAACACCTGTTCGATGCATAACTTCTCTGCTGTAAGAGTTGTCTTGTCATGCAGGATCACTTGGTTTGCTTCTTGCCGGGTACTTTGGCACTGGGAGCCCACAATGGACTGGATGCTGATCATATGAAATTGGCTGAAGCCCTTATAGAAACCTGCTACCAGATGTATGCTCAAGTAGAGACAGGCCTGAGCCCGGAGATCATACATTTCAACCTCCACGCGCAGAAGGGCTACAAAGATGTGGAAATCAAGGTGAGCAGACAGCTGACCTGAACTCCAGTTCCATGATTACTCTGTAGCTCTGTTCTGCTGTTGAACTCTGGCCAGATATTGGTGATGGGGTCTGTTGTGGAGCAGTTTACTGCCTTTCCTTCTAGTTGTACCCTGGGCTTTGGTTTTAATTACCCTGGTAGTGTATTTAGAAGCTGAATTATGCATAGCAAACTCTTAGGAGTAGATGGAGATGGGAATCACTATCTTTCTCCCTGCATGTCTCCTTGAGGAAATTGCCTGTCTGAAGTGCTCTTGCCTTTTTTTCCTCTTGCAGCCTGCAGACAGGCACAACTTACTGCAACCAGAAACTGTGGAAAGCCTTTTTTATATGTACAGATTCACTGGTGATAAGAAATATCAAGACTGGGGCTGGAAAATCTTGCAGAACTTCAATAAATACACACGGGTAAGGCCAAGTGACCTTGTTCTGTCAGGACTTTGTTTGCTCATTTGCTTTCTGACACCAACTTTGGAAACTTACTATGTTTCAAGATTCATCAGATACCTGTGGGGAAATTTGTAAGAATATCCAGAAAAATTGGTTTCTTACAGTTTGAGATACACTACTTAGTCCATATAGGGAAAGAACTTGTATTGCATTGATTAAACAGTGGAATGTAGAAGCTGTAAGCAAGACTGCCAAAGTGTCTCTACATCTTGGAAGCTGTTTGAATCTCTACTGTGGTGGTTTTTAGAATTCAGAAGCTGAGAAGGACCTGGCGGGATTGAATGAATCCTCTGATTAAAACTGCCAAAGGAAAAAATGGGCACAAAATGGCATTAATGGTTTGATAGAGGGGTTTTGTATTCGTTCTGACTACAGTACTGGTTGAGATATCACTGATATGCTGTGAAAGTGTGGCCTAGATGCCAGTGATCATCAAATATCTGTGGTCTGTTCTGAAATGGATATGGGGCTTGGGCCAACTCTAATCTAGAAATTGCTAGTTCCTTCCTGTATGTTTGTCCAAAAAATTCAAGGGAATGTTCCTTGTGATACCTCTTTAACTTAAGTATAAATGGATATTTTGTTTCATTTTATCCTTGCGGTTTCTTTTAAAATGCAATGAGTTGGTGTTTTTCATAACTGAAGCTCTGTTACGTAAAGGAAAACCAAGTACAAAATGAAAAACATGCTGATCTGTTTCCTAGCATTTATCTTCTCCAAGTGCATCTGGATGTTAGGAAGTAAAAAATAATTTATTGTAGATTATATAAAGATACAAATTTCTGGTTTAGACTTTTTTGTTTGTTTGTTTGTGTTTTGGCACAGGTTCCTACAGGTGGTTATACTTCCATTAACAATGTCCAGAATCCCAGTAATCCAGAGCCACGGGACAAGATGGAGAGCTTCTTCCTTGGGGAAACGCTCAAATACATGTTTCTGCTGTTTTCAGACGACATAGACTTAATCAACCTTGACAAATACGTCTTTAACACGGAGGCTCATCCACTCCCTATCTGGGCGCCAGCATAGACTCTGCAACACTGGACCTTTCAGTGGTGGCATTTTTATCTCCAAGTCACTTTACTTTTCAGGGTTTGAGGAGAGATGCTATATTGCACCTTTTTTGGCTACAAACAATGAACAAAACCTTGGGGAAAGCATCTCTGGTTTGAAGAAATCATGTCAGTCTTAAATCCCTGGTTCTGGGATGAACAAACCATATGAAGCTGGTTTCCCTAGTACTGATGATGAGGTTCAGAGAGTAATTGCAGTGTGGACCACGACATTCATGGGGCTCTGGTGACCCAGAACTCAGTTATGTCAGTCTTACTAAATGCTCGTTATATATTGGAATGCAGCGACTCAGCTTAGGGCACAGGGTTGTTTCTGGAGAGCAAGAAAAAGCCTACAGTTTTTTGGTTTATTCTGGATTCACTGAAACACTGGATTACAGAGCCATTCCTTTGTCAGAATGTGACAGTAGTTCACGTGGAAAGTGGAATAAACAAGAGCTGTAGTGCTGTCCCAGGCAGAAGCAAAGCTGTCAGTATTGCTGCTGATATTCTGATCTCATTCCAAACTCACAAGCTGTGCTGCACCACCTTAGGAGAAGGAAGAGGCAGCAGAGCATCCACTGTATAGTGTCTTAGTTTTTGTAGAGCACTTTGAACAATCTGTTCAAACTGGGGCTGAAATGAATGGTGAAAGGGAATTTGCTGCTGGTTTGGCTCAAAGTGGTATATAATTTTTTAGAGGCATTGCAGTTTTTTTACTTACCTGCAGGAATGCAGGAGATAATGTGAAATGCAAGTGAAACTACACATGCATTTTATATATTATTTGCGTCAGTTAGACTCAGGTATTCTGACTGAAAGCTGCTTTCTGAGGTTGGGTACTGGGAAAGCTTGTGAGCACATTAGTTATCAGCCTCCTTCCGTCCCTTCCTGTCCAGATATCACGAGGTGTTTGTTGACTCAAAACAAGCTTACAATTGTACAGCATAGTTTATGTTATTCATAATTTCTTGGGCTGTGGAGAAATTTTCAATTTTTTTTTTTCCTTAGTAATACATCAGTCAGAAGTATTTTCGATAGTAGTGTTAAAAGCAAACAGTCTAAAAGTATTACAGCGATTTCAGATCCCAGTAGATTTAGAGAAATCGATTTCAGTTGCTTCAAGACTGAAAAGCAGATCCAGATTTTTTAAGACTCTTATTGGAGCCCTGGGATCTTTCATTTTTATATGTGCAATAGATTTTAAACCATGAATTTGGAAATGAACTTTCTTTAGTGCTTGTCCTTTTGGATCTGTAGCTACTTGGACAGTGCTGTATTCACAGATAAGATCTTAGAAATGTACTTGTTCATATTTCTGGAAGAGGTGGTTCTCGCTGAAGTGCCCTTTCCCCTGTGGCAGTGGGTGTGATGGGCAAAACAGGTATGTGATGGCAACAGGGAAGGCCATTCCCCACTAACACTGGGGCCACTGACAGAACTGATTGACTGGAAAGGCTGAGGGAGGTATGTGAATTTTTTAGTAATTATAACCTTTGATTTGTAAAGTAAGATATGTCTTTGTTTTATGCTGATCCGTTTTGTTTGCTGCAGTTACAAGTTATCCTTGGGACCACTATTTAAATCTTTTAGAGAATATTTATCATTCCGTGTACTAACGATAGCTTATGGAAATGGAGAACTTTTACAAATTATTACTGAAATGGAATGTTACAAATTATTTAAATGCACCTTTTTTGTTATCAAAGGTACCCTGGGAGTGGCAGGACACAACAGGTCAGTGCAGAGTGCTAATGTTCTTCCTGCTCATTTGCCAGCAGTAACCCCTGCAATGAGCTTTTCACATACATGTGCAGTGGAATCCAATCACTGTGGCCTTTGGCTGCACAACTGATTGGTTGCTAATACTTTTGTTTTCTTTGACAGAACAGCAAATGAGGAAGGTGCTGTTGAAATGTGGGAGGTAACACCCTCAGTGTTTTTGTTTGTGGAGCAGATTTGTGCTGCTGAGGAGCTGAGCTTTGGCTAAAAGCTAATCTTAAAATTGGAAATTAAAAGAAAAAAAGGATAAATTCAGTGACACTACGCAGGGCCTGGTGACTTGTGTTGCTTTGGCCTTGTGCCTTTGACTGAAGCTAGTATTGAGCCCTTAATTATGACTGTGCTATGGATTGTAAAACTTGTGGGGTTTGGTGTTTCACCCATACAGCTGCCTGACTGAGGCAACAGAGACATTTCTTAGGAAATGGAATACATATAAATGCTTACCAAAAATATTCTGGTTTTGAAGTCTTACACTAGTCTTAATGTAATTGATTCTACAAATGGGACTGCACGAGTCTGCATTATATTATTTTTGCCTTATGACTGGTTTGAGAGTAATAATTCCCTAATGAGTTAAGGAAGGGAGAGAAGAATAAACCATCACTTTCCCAAACACATCCTGTCTTTTAGCTGAACCTTTTGGTCCAACTGATTTCTACCTAGTTCTTGTTGGGACATGGAATCTCTGCAAACCATGGCTTTATTGTCCTCAGTCTTTAAACCTGAAGTTCAGATTGTTCAGTTCTCGCTTCCCTCGAGAACAAATGCTTGTTTCAGACCCCTGTATCACCTGTGAAATGGCACAAACTAAAGAATCTGAACAAAGCTCATCTGTTCTTCCTGTTCTTTTGCAAAGGTCATTTTAATTGCTTATTTATTTTTACTTTCTTAACTGTTGTGTCAGGTCAGTCTCTGAGCTCCACAACCCATCTCTATTCCATGATGTGCTCCCCCAGCACAACAGAAACTCGAAAGTTTCCCTTTGAGCACTCTGTGGTTCCTTGTTCCAAAGCCTGAACTTCCTGGTCCGTAACCTGCTCTGATGCTTCAGCGTACTGGGATGCTCTTGGCTTAAGTGGAATGTTGTGGAAAGGCCACCACTGAGCCAGGGATTCTGTCCTGCACAAAGAGCTGCAGTGGTTTCTCTCCAAGAGCTTGAGTGCCTGCCTAATTATAATAGATTTGGGAGTCTTATACTTGGGGCTTTGAGCTACAGCTTAGGAAAAAAGTACAGACCTGTTTGCTCAAAGAAAATTCAGCAGATGGATGAGACACAGTTAGCATTTAATCCCTGAACTTCTGAAAGATGAATTCTCATTACAGGTCATAGAAACTGGCAGTTTTACCAGGTGCCTGGTGTTGGCTGAGAGGCCCCTCGTGTTTCACAGGACTTTCCAGTAACAGGATGCCAAGTTCAGGTACACTTGTATTTACTCCTCCAAATACCAGACAAAAAGTACACCTTGTTTGCAGTTCCATACCAGTGTGATGTTGGCAGTGATGAGGGATGAAAACAGGAAAGGTTTTTGCAATAACACAGTTTTGTGACTTCTCCTTCACTTTAGGACTTCCCTTCAGCTGTGCACTCCTAGAAATAGCCCTGCAGGGAAGTCAGCTCCTGATTTCCAGTGCTACACTCAGTATATTTAACCAGACCAGTAAAAGTGACAGAACAGGGTAGCTTCATGAAGCTTGTTGCTTCAACAGAAAATTTAAGATTTTTCTGACTTTGGATTTATTAAGAAGGGGTTGGGGTTTTTTTGTCTCTGAAACATTGCTGGAGATTGCTGTCCAAGTCTGGAGGCTTCCACTGAAATCTGAGTTCCTGTTCTGTGTCACGTTCCCACGCTGGCCCCATGCTGGCCCCACGTTGGCAGGTGACGATGGAACAAATGAGCCTTTGTTCAACAACCCCACACTGGGTTGTTGAGCACAGAGGAGGGGCTGCAGCCATGGTCTGGTCTAGGTCACTCCTAGACACCCCATGTTGGCACCCCATTTTCCTTTTGTGAACCTCAAGTTGAGCCAGGAGCAGTGTTCCCATGATGCTCAAGAGCAGTGACTGCTGCTGTGTGGCTGTGGCTCTTCCCTTCAGCTCAGACAGCACCACACAAGCAGGGTTTTCCACTTATCCCACGCTTGCTTGCCCAAGGCTTCAACACATTATGGATGTTGGTGGCACTGGCTTCAGCCTTCTGCCATGATTTCTTTTTTAACACTGCTCATCTGTCCTGGAAGTCCACATGTATCATGTTTATCTCTTTGACATGGTGTCTGAAAACCTTTTATTCATCCATCCATATCAGTCAGTGGGTGTTCCTCACACTGTGTGGATTCCTTTGGGGCAAGAACTATCTTAAAGTAGGAGCTCAGTGTAGTCCAGTACAAGGAGATTAAAGAACTTTTGCCCTTCTGGAAGGTCAGCAGACACCTGGGCCTCCTTTCCCTCCAAAGCCCAAACCCAACCCTGGCTGCAGGGGTAACTTGCAGTGATTTCCCAAAAAAGACTCTCCCTGAGCCTGGCTGTGTTCCTGTACTGCTGGGTTGGTGTCACTGGGTGCCTGCTTGTGGGACTCAGGGGTGCTGTTAGAAAGGGAATACAAACAAGATGCAATCCTTGCTCTCTGCTTTTTTTTTTTTTTTTTTTTTTTTTTAATGTGCTGCTAATCCTGAATAATGCCTGGGGTACAGAAAAATCTGAATTCCAGAACATTGAGGGCTCTAAGCATGGAGGATGAACATGAGTCCAGCACCTCACTAAGGCTGGATGTGGCACCCTTGCATAAGCCACAGCTGGAGCAACAAACACAAAGCCTAACTTGAGCAGGAGCAGAAGAGATGGTGGCAGCTCTGAGCAGGGCCACTGCAGGCTTTCATCTGCAGGAACAGAGGATTTGTGTCTTCCTGAAGATGTAGTGCCACTGGCAGTCTTACAGAAGCTTTCTTGGGGACTGGAGTTGACTAATTGGGTCTTCCTTGTTGTCCTTCATTTACATGTATCTGAAGTAGCTGACAAAGGAATGGATCCATCTGTTCCTGCTCTCTCCAGCATTCCTGGGGGAGTGCTGGGGGGGATGGGGCACAAGCTTCAGCCTTTTGTTCTATAGAACAGGGCAGAGGATTGTGGGTCCTGTGTCAGCACCCTAATCATTGTGAAATATCAGCAGTGGCTCTGGGAAACAGCCCTCCTGTGACCAGGGAGGGCCCAGCAGAGCAAACACTGACACAAAGCCTGTTTGAGCAGGGTCAGGACAGCGGAGGCACTGCTGTGACTGTGCTGCACAAGCAATAGAAACCTGTGGGGACCCAGGAGATCTCTCCACTAAAGTCATAAAATCACTGTAAATGGATTAACTGAGGCAGCAATCACTGTAAATGGATTAACTGAGGCAGCCAGTTGATTACTAGGGTTTAATCTTTTTGCAATTATGCTAGTAATTATTGGTGCATAGTCATTCCAGTAGGTAAGAATCCATGTTTCTGTGCAAAGGTGAGTTACTGCATTTCTCCACCTGGGAAGGTGAGAAGGAACCCTTTTTATCTTCTTCGGTTATACTACCAAGCCATGGAATTATATCACACACTAATAAACTTTGATATCACACACTTTAATAAACTTGTAATTTATTTTAAAAAGCTCTGAAGATGTCTCAGTGGAAGTGTGCTTTACTGGTCACCAATACACAGCCCTTGAGTGGCAGCATTGCAGACCAGGATTAGTTTGTGTCAGTCTTCATCTCAGCAACGGGAATCTCTTGGGCAAGTTAAAACCAAAACATCCCAAACCCATAGCCCTGGCTGAGGCTGACAGTCTGTTTTAGATAACTGGTCACCAGTGGAGCCCCCTGTGTCAGTCATGACCATACCTCTGCTTTTTCACTAGCCTTTTAATACTTTTTCTCTAAAAATAATTTAGCTTCAAGCTTAAGGTGCCTCATGCAACCATCCTGTTCAGAGGTGTGATGGTTCTTGGGCCTTCAAGGCAAGCTTTTCTTATTCCTACCCTTTGTAACAGCTCATTCCAAGCAGGCAAGCATGGACCCTAAATAGTGTGGTTTTGGTTGCAGTCAGTGATTTGGCCTTTTGCTTTTCTTTTGATACTCAATGAGGTGCAGGTGGGACACTTTGGAAAGGGGAATTTCCACCATCGTGGCAGAGGAGAGAACAGCGTCCCACCCAGCCTAGACCCAGCTCAGCAGGCTGCTGTCCCTTGGGGCAGCTGCACCACCCAGGGGACTGTGGGGATGGAGGGCTCACAGCTGGCTGCCCGCTGCAGCTCCCATGTGCTGCTCCCGTGCCCGCTCCTTGCCCGTGGATTTCACCCAGCCCTGGATGATCTTGGCTTCCAGCCTGCGCACTTGTGTCACTGATGGCGGGTCAGCGGGGTTGCTTCCCCTGGGGAGAGCAGAGCAGCATCAGGCACGGGGCAGTAGCTCTTTGCCTCCTGCACAGAGCCTGGAAACTGAAGGACAGTTACTGACTGGTTTGTGTTTCACATTTAGGCAGGTGGGCAGCAACCCTGGGCTTGGCCTTGCGTCACTGGCTGCTTCCCCCTCTGCTCCAGGCCCAAAGGCTGATGGCAATGCCAGGGGACACCCGATGACTTTGCATGACTGATCGCTGCAGGGTGTCACACACTTGTGCCAATCCCTGTGCAAGAACCTGATCTAGTGACAGTAGGTGAGCCAAGTGCCAAGTTCTGCCACAGTCCAGCATCCCTGGTGGGTGGAAGAGCTCTGTGCTGGGGAAGATTGCTCTTCCACAGTGGGATGCCAACAGCCTAGTATCCAGTCCCCTGTAAGTACTCCCCCAGTGCTGGGCACTGGTTAGGCCAGTTTTGGGCCCCTCATGACAAGAAAGACATTGAAGAGCTGGAGTGTTTCTAGAGAAGGCCAATGGAGCTGGGGATGCATCTGGAGCACAAGTCTGATGAGAAGCAGCTGAGGGAGCTGGGGGGGGTCAGCCTGGAAAAAGGAGGCTCAAGGGGGACCTTCTCACTCTCTGCAACTACCTGACAGGGTGGAGCTGGGGGGGGTCAGGCTCTTCTCCCAGGGATCAAGTGACAGGGCAAGAGGAAACAGCTTCAAATTGAAACAGGAGATCTTTAGATTGGATATTAGGGAAAATTTTTTCATGGAAAGGGTTGTAAGGCATTGGAATAGGCTGCCCAGGGAAGTGTTAAGTCACCATCCCTGGAAGTGTTCAAAAAACCTTGGATGTGGCAGTTGAGAACATGGTTTAGTAGTGAACGTGGTGGTGGTGTTGGGTTGATAGTTGGACTTGATGATCTTAGAGGTCTTTCCCAACCTCAACAACTCTGATTTTGTGATTCCAAAGTATCTCCTCATTCTCTGGGCTGTGGCTTGCTGAGATCAAACACCTGGGGCATCACGATTCTGTCAGCCAAAGGAGAATTCAGTACTTACCGGAGATCAAGGTGATGGGCACCTCCTTTAACAGTCAGTGCAATCAGTGAAGGGCTGAGGCTACTGTTTATCTGGAAGCAGAAAGAGCAGAGGTCAGCTCTCTGCAAGTTACTGGGTAGAACTGAACATCAGTTCTGAAAACTGGAACATGATCTGGGAAAGACTGAGGAAAAGCATGGCTGGTATCATGCACACAGCTAACAGTCCTAATGAGCCAGATCACCTGTCCCAAATGAAGGGAAAATTTACCTCAGAGTGGGAACTGTCAGCTGATTCCAGCCCTGGCAGTTGGAAATATATCTCCTTTGGGCTCACACCCCCTAAGCAGCCTGTTGTTCTTGCAGCTGGGATTCCAAGCCAGCCTAGAACAAGGAACTGCTGCATTAAATCAGGAGCTCAACTACCTCAAAAACCAGTTCTGGGTCATTTTTGGTTTTCAGTTTTAAACTTGAGCTCTGCCAATACTCTGAAGTTTTGCTGACTCTAAGCCAAAACATGCCTGGTTTGAGGCACTGCTCACAGCACCTGGCTTGGTCTCACCAAGTGTGCTGAGACTGGAGAGAGCCAGGAGCACCCAGCCAGCAGCACTGAGACCACATGTGGACACAGAAACACACTGGGTTGTGGTTCAGATCCTGGGTGTGGGGTAAAGAAGGTCCTGCTGTGTCTGCACTACCAAACCCTCGTTTGTTCCATCAGTGTTCCTGATGGACAGATGGACACTACTCTGTGTCCATCATTAGAGTCCTGAGGCTCCTCAGTGGCTCAGCATAAAACAGCTGCTCACAGAAACTCAAACAGGCTAAAACTGGATTGCCAGCGTTGCTCTGAAAGGAAGAAGGAGTGCTGTGTTACCTGCAAAGGCTGCTCTGTGTTCAGGGTGCAGGAGTACACATGCTTACCCCACCTCCAGCCCACGGGTCCAAGTCTCCGTTTGAAAAAATGATGTTGCTTGCACTTCTCAGGTCTGAAATCCAGAGAGAGAATAATTGAGAGGTCTCCTTCCTGTGCAGTTATCCAAGTGTATGTGGCCAAGAACAGAAAACACTGGAGAATAGAACAAATTCTTGTTTTTAGGATTTCCCCTTCTGTCCTAAGGGGATACAGAAAGCTCTGTTTGGCTCAAGTGAGCACAAGGCTGTGACCTTCTGCCAGGACCTGTCAGTGCACTGTGCCTGTCCTCACAGGGCTTAGCTGGGCAGAGGGTGACAGGCAGACAGCTACAGGGAAACACAAAGGAATGAGCAGTCAGCACAATTCACCTCCTCCCCAGAAGTTTGTCTGCAACCAGTGTGGTCGTGGCCTCACGTGCCACTTGTTCCAACAGTATTGCTCGCGCATGGCCTCTGTGAAGGGCATCTCAGGGAACATGTCTGTCACATTGTTGCTGTTGAAAGTTAAGTTGATCTCGGTGCAAACCTAAGAGAAGCACAAAGGCTCTTATGGGGCGGGGGGATAACCAGGACAGCAGCTGAAAGCTGTTGTTGTCTCTAACCCTTTACCTGGTAGTCCCAAGCTTCTGCATCCAAGCCGGTGCCACAGCCCGTGGGGTCAGCACAGGACCGGTACAGCTGGTATATGTCGTAACATGGTGCCAAGCCAGACGAGTTGTAAAACACCCCTGCCAGGTGGGAACATAGCACAAAGTTGCTTGTAAAACACCCCTGCCAGGAAGGGACACAACACAAAAGCCCAATTGCCCAACACACAAACTTCGTGGCCAAGAACAAGCCAAGGTCTGGCTGCAGGACATGCTTTGTTTCTGTTGCATTCACAGAGAAGAAGGGACTCCCAGGTGCTCTCTTCTGTCTCTGCTTGTGCCAAAAGCCAGCAAGTGGTTCACTAGTCCTTGGGACAGCCCAAGCCCCCAGGAGCAGACTGTGCACAGGATGTTGGTTGAATGCTTCAAATTGAACAGGACAAAACTGCTGAGACCTTCCCAACCTTGCCCTGAAAGCAGCTGTGTCTGAACTGATCAGCTTTAGTCAGAGGGCCAAGGGTGGCACATCACGGAGGGGATTTTGCTTGACTGCTGTTCACAAAGGGAAGGATGCATGTGCAGGCTTGCCCAGATGAAAGAATAGCTGAGCAGGCGGTCAGGGAAGCATGGCCAGGAGCTGCTCAGGAATGAGCTGCTTTCTGTGTGGACGGGCAGTTACCAGGTAAGAGGAGGAGGAATTCAGCTAAGCTGGTGGCTGTCTGCTGCTGCCAGTGTTAAAAGCAAACCTCACAAACACTGTGGATTTGTGTGCTAACCAGCACCACTTGCAAACAGCCCCAAGAGCTCTGCATGGCATCCAGTGCTTTGTGCTGCAGGGCCCCAGGCATGGGCTGCTGAGGAGGAACCTGCTGCAGCTGCTGCCTTTTAGATGGCTCTGCAGGGTGGACAGAACAGCCTCAGCCCCCTCGCAGCATGGACCCACTGATTCAACTGCAGAAGGCTGCCTAGGAGGTGCACAGAGGGGCTGCTTCAGGGCTGCCTGCCACCCAGAGTGATGCTGCTGGGCTTGCAGGCCAGCAGGGCAAGGCTCATGTCTGACACTTACGTACCAAAACTCCTGGAAGGGCTCAGCGGCCTTTGCTCACAGAGCGTGCTGTGTGACCTGACTCTGGAGGCAGAAGGGGTTCGCTTTCCAGTCCACATGATAATTTTGGCTTCAGCAAGCAATTACTTCAATATGCTGTTTGTTGGAAAGTCAATGGGAGCAGGGAGTTTAGATGGTAACATCCAGATGAGGGCTGTCAGTGCTGCAGGGCTGAGAAATGTTCTCAACTTCATTCCTCCACCTGCAGAGAACCAGACCAACACTCCCCCATCATATCACGCCTCAGGCGGCATCACTGTCACATCAGGCTTGCTGGGTTCATGATAAAGGAAACTAGTGTCTCCACATCTGTTTGAACACCATGGGGCTCAGGATGCCAGAGTTTTGATTCATGTTTAGCAATCAGAGCCTCAAAAGAGACTAAGTAAAATACCAGAATGGCACATCCTGGAAGGAGCTTTCTTCTTGGGAAATAAGAGGATTGAGCTGAGCAAGGTACCACAGGGACCTGCTGAACCTGGCATGGCCCAAGCCCTGCCTGCTATCTGCTAAACCACTTATGGCCAGCTGGGAATCCCTGTAGTGATTTTAATCAGATTAACTTCAAATGCACAGTTTCAGCAAAGGGAACATCTCTCTGATGGCCTGTATGCTGTAGCCTCAGGG